TCTAGGGGTACCCTCATCCTGTGAAGGAACCTCAGCCCTCCTCCCCCACTTTCTTCCCTCCATCCCCCCTTTCCCTGGGTTGACAGAGGCGCTTGCTCAGGGCAAGCTGCATACTTTTTTAAAAATTTTATTTATTTTTTGGGGGGTGTTACATCCAATGGTGTACAGGGGTTACTCCTGGCTTGCACTCAGGAATTACTCCTGGCATGCTCGGGGAACCATATGGGATGCTGGGAATCGAACCAGGGTTGGCCATGTTGGCTGTGTGCAAGGCAAACGCTCTACCTGCTGTGCTATCACTCCAGCCCCTTTACTTTATTTTTTAACACTTTTTTCTTTTTCTTTTTTTTATTTTTTGGTCACAGCCGGCGATGCACAGGGGTTACTCCGAGCTCTGCACTCAGGAATCACTTCTGAGTGGCAGTGCTTAGTCCATTGAACATGGGCTTGGTCAGGTGCCCACAAAATACAGGGATCATGGCAGGCACACTGCCTGCCCACCATGCCCAGCCGTGTCAGTCAGCCTCCCCTCCCCCACATATCATCACCATCGTCCCTGGCTACCAAGACCATCCTCACGATGACGGTTGGCTGTGTAGGACTCCCCGCTTGGGCCAGCCTTCCCTTCCAGATAGCATCTGTCGCTCTTTGCTGACATTCGGGGGCCACCCGGGAGGTGCCTCAGGATCATGAAATGCTGGGGATTAAAATTGGGCCTCGGGGCTGGAGCGATAGCACAGTGGGTAAGGTGTTTGCCTTGCACGTGGCCGACCCAGGTTTGATCCCCGGCATCCCATATGGTCCCCTGTGCACCGCCAGGACTACTTCCTGAGTGCAAAGCCAGGAGTAACCCCTGAGCATTGCTGGGTGTGACTCAAAAATAAATAAATAAATAAATAGATAGATAGATAGATAAATAAATAAATAAAACTGGGCCTCCTGCATGCACTTTCTGAGCACAACCCACTGCACTCTCCGACCCCATGATTCGGCTCTTTTTTTGGGTGGGGGGAGGTTTTGGGTCACACCCGGCGTGACACAGGGGTTACTCCTGGCTCTGCACTCAGGAGTTACCCCTGGCAGTGTTCGGGGGACCCTATGGGATGCTGGGAATCGAACCCGGGTTGGCCGCGTGCAAGAAAAACGCCCTCCCCGCTGTGCTATCGCTCCAGCCTAGAATTAGTTCTTTTTGTTCGCTTGTTTGTTTGCTTTGAAGTCATACACAGCGGTGCTCAGGGCTGCCTCCTGGCTCATGGATGACTCTTGGTGGGGCTCGGGGGACCCAGTGGGGTGCCGGGGATAGAACCTGAGTCAGCCACGTGCAAATGTCCTACCTGCTATACAGTTTTTCTGGCTCCATGATTTAGAGAAGAGACGTGATTGGTTGAGAGAGGAAGCCCTGCGAGCCATTCCTATACTCAGCAAACTCGCAAGCCTCCCCACACTCCCCCACCACCCCCCCACACCGGCTCTCAGTGCGAGAGCCAGTCTGAGGACAACCCATAGCAACGGTCTTCAAACACCAGGTCTGTGGGCCGTAGCGTTCTGCCAAGTAAAAAGGTGGCAACCCGCTGGTGTGCGGTGTCTGGGAGCCACCAAGCCACTCTGGGTCCAGCGGTACTCAGGGACCACCAGGGCCACAGCCCGCGGAGCTCAGGGCCCACTCCGGCAGTGATGCTTGGGGGCCACACCCCCCAGGGCTTGGGGTGGGGTGCATTCAGTGGCAGGGATCCAGCTCAGCGTCTCATACACGCAAGGCACAACTCCAACCTTTGAGTCACTTCCCCAGTCTGGTGTCTTCTGTGAGTGAGGTGCTTTACAGGCAGTGCTCAGGAGGCCTGGGATGGGGGGGGTCCCTTTAGTGATTCTCAGCCAATCAGGCTGGTGCTTCAAAGCAAAGGCCAGAAGTGCTGGGGAGGACCTAGGCCACCCTGGGGGCGGTGGTACTCAGGGGTCTCCAGGGCTGCCCCCAGAGACGCTCAAGGGTTCATGTGGTACTGGAAGCAAACCGGATTGGGTGCCTGCCAGGCAAGTGCCCTCCCTGCTGTGCTCTCTCCTTGCCCTGGTCTACAGCATCTAACACACCCGGATCCTCGGGCTCCCTTGTTTCTTTATCACACTCTTGCCCCTCTGCAGCCCCCAACCTTGCTTTTCCTGAGACAAGCCAGAAAGAGTCCGGCCCTTCTCTCCTCTCTCTCTCTCTCTCTCTCTCTCTCTCTCCCTCTCTCTCTCTCTCTCTTGCTTTTTGGATCACACCAGCGATCAGGGGTTACTCCTGGCTTTGCACTCAGGAATCACTCCTGGCAGTGCTTGGGGGACCATATGGGATGCCAGGGATTGAACCCGGATCAGCCACATGCAAGGCAAATGCCCTTCCTGCTGTGCTATCGCTCCAGCCCCAACACACACACACACACACACACACACACACACACACACACACACACACACACACACTCTTTGGACATTCCAGGGCTTCACATAGGCTGGCAAATGCTCTATCACTGAGCTCTAGTCTCAGCTCCTAGCCCCTTTGTTCATTCTTTTTTTTGGCTTTTTGGGACACACCCAGCAATGCTCAGGGGTTACTTCTGGCTCTGCACTCAGCAATTACTCCTGGCGGTGCTCGGGGACTCTATGGGATGCCGGGAACCAAACCCAGGTCAGCCGCGTGCAAGGCAAATGCCCTATCCCCTGTGCTATTGCTCCAGCCCCTCAGTTATGTGTCTTGTTGATCAAAATTGCCTCACAGGCCACCCTAAACACAAAGTGGAAGGACAGGACTCGTCTTATTGAATCCATGTACGTTGGGTCAGATAGTTCGATTGTAGGTGGAATGCCTGACCATTGACAAGCTCTTTGATAACCATCATCCCAAGTTTGCTTGCTGGGATTGGGGGGGATAGAGGGCAAAGATGTTTTCATGGAGAATGCGAAGTTTTTATCCTTTTCTCTAACTCCAAGCCAAAACTCTTGAGCAAAATTCTGGTTTATGGGAACAACTTCTTCTCAACAACCTCTTACTACAACAGGAGTAAATTAAAACCTGAAGGGATGTATCTCAGTAAAATTCCTTTGTAACTAGTTAAGGCTCTGAACTGTACCACTTCCTATGATAAGTTATTATTAACCTGTCTGGATTCTTTTATTTTTCCTGGGGTGGGGGGATGCACACGTGGTTATGCTCAGGGGTTACTCCAGGCTCTGAATTCAGGAATTACACCTGGCGGTGCTCGGGGGACCACATGGGATGCTGGGGATGGAACCTGGGTTGGCTGCATGTAAGGGAAACACCCTACCCACTGTACTATCGCTTGGGACCCCTAACCTGTTTAGATTCTTTTGATTTTGATGAGATTTGGAGACGACCGCTGGACTAGAGCCATTACCGACTGGATTCCACGGGATGTCAGACGACTGCATGGCCGCCCACCTACAAGATGGTCAGACTTGTTTGTCAAGACCCTGAACGATCGGTTTGAGGCTCTTCATGTTCCTAGAACAAACAGATGCCATTGGGCTACACTAGCACGCGACAGGGACGAATGGAGACGTTACTGGTGCCTGCTCGAGCAAATCAATGATTTACGGGAAGTCAAGTGATCAAGTGATTTTGGAGGGGTGTCACACTTGGTAGTAGTCACAGTCAATTCCAGCGGTGCTTGGAGGACCATCCGTGCCAGGGACAGAAACCAGGGCTTCCTGTGTGCAAAGCATGCATGCATGGGGTCCAGTCCTGTGCACCCTAGCTCTCCTGTCTAGGTGCTTAAACTTCCCTTCGCTCTGATGGCATGTGCTATTGTATCTCGGGACAGAGTGAGGTAGCTTGGGGTAGACTTCTCACCATGCACATAAAGGGTGCTGAAAGAATTGGTCTAGACCTGACTTGGAGGTAATCATTAGTGCAAGGAAAGTTCCCCAGCCAAGTCCTGGAGCTGGAGAGGGGGTATAGCCATGGCACAGGTCCTTTTTTTTTTTCCAGCTCAGTTCATTCTCAGCGTTACTAGTCCTAACTCCAGGGTGTGGGCATTCATTGATCTCACCTAGTCACTGAAAGTCTGGGAGATATTGCTGCACCTCCTTTTCTGACGATGTTTACGGAGACCAAGTCCTACTTAAAAGTGCAAAGAAATCTAGTGTTGGCATGGTCGAGTCAATGGCCAGGAATAATTTATTTTTATTTATTTATAGCTTGGGACCAACACCCAGCAGTGATCAAGACTCACTCCTGGCTCTGGGCTCCCAGGGGGACCATATGGGATTCGAGGGATCAAACCTGGGTTGGTTGCATGCAAGGCAACCTACCCACTATACTATGGTTCCAGCCCCCAGTAATAATTTATTAGCGGAACTCTGCTAACCCCCACCCCCGACACACACACACACACACACACACACCTGATACACACACACACATCTGATACACACACACACCTGATACACACACACACACCTGATACACACACACACACACACACACCTGATATTAAGATATTACGGGTTGTTTGGCTGATAGTTTATATGTAACTGGGCCTCCCTTATTTTTGTTTGCTGAACCTGGCAACCCCAGCTTGGGGAAACGTGGGGAAACCCGATACCATCATATCCGGCTCCTCCCTAATGTGTCTTAAGTCTTCGTTGCTTTTCCGTTTAGATTTATGAGCCACCATTAACAGGAGGCTCAGAGTCCAAGCCTTGGGCTGCAGTGGGCTGGGAAGGGCGAGCAACTTGCCCCTCACCAACATGTCCACCAGCGAGCCGTCACGACGACTTCCGCCCCGCACAGACATGGCTGCCCTCCGCCGCCGCGGATTGGCTCCCGCCCGAAACCCCCGCTAGTCTCGGGCGATGAGAGCCCCTTCCATTGGGCAGTTAGGAAAGATGGCGGCGCCCGCTCCCGCCTTCCTCGCGCGCGCCGCTCTCGCCGTGAGGGGGTGGGGCCACGAGGGGACAAGGGCTCCGGCGATTGGCCGGGAGGCGGTGCCTGCTCGTCACGTGACCCGGGGCTCGTTTGTTTGCGGAAGTAGGAGGAGGTTCAAGCGCTGAGTAAGGCGAGGTGAGTGACGGCGCAGGGGAGGCGGGGCCTGGGGGGCCCTTCCCCAACCTCTTCTGCACCCCGGACTCTGTGGTCTCCACTTGCGTCCTCTTTAGATCCTCCTTCCTCCCCACTGCCTCGTGACCGCCGTGATCCCCTGCGCGACCCACCTACCGCCCCTTTTGAGCCCCGGGCGCCCCCAACTCCCTTCCTGTGACCCCTCTCCTTCCTCCCCGAGACCCCCAGCTTCAGCCGGGCCCCTCCGCAGGCCTCCTGCCTTCCCCGTGTGTCTCCCCCTCCCCGGGTCGACCCCTCTCCCCATCTCTGGTGACTCCCTGTCACCCCAGCTTCCGCGATCCCCTTCCAAACCCCTCTGAGCGCTCCCGCTCTCCCCTGTTGCGCAGCCCGGTCACCCCCTCTCCTCCCCTGCCCCTCTGCTGGGGGGTCCTTCCTTTGTGTCCCCCCAGCTGCTGTTCTTCATTTCTGACTTTCCGACTCCCCCCACCCGAGGATCCCCGCTGGCCTCCTTACCCCGGGTCTCCCATTCCCCCAATCCTTGGGCCACCTCCTGCTCCACAAATGACCTGGAAGCTGGTGACAACAGCGAGCATGTGACTGGGATCCGTGGGCGTGGGAGCCGGAGTGCAGGGTTTCAGGGATCTGTGCTCCTTTTTTTTTTTTATTGATAGACTACTCACATGACCCTGAACAAATACCTTCCCTTCCCTGAGCGCTTCCCTTTACTCTCTCTCTCACCAGCCCAACAGGATGCCGGCCAGGTTTGGTTTGGCAACACCAACACTCCACCCGGAGCACAACGCTTTGTTTTCAGTTGTCTGCTTTGAAACCTCCCTAGGGCTTGTAAGGCTCCATCTCTGCTGTGGCGCAGTTTTTTCTCCTGTGCCTGGGACGGGGGATTGCCTTTCTTGCCCTTCGAAGGCTGGACCTCTGGTTCAGATTTTGAGAAGATGTCCAGGGCATAGCTTTGTGACCAGTTAATGGTCCTTTGATGGTCCTTTCCAAATACATGCATAGCTTTTTTGGGGGGGGGGTCACATCCAGCCGATGCTCAGGGTTTCCTCCTGGCTCTGCGCTCAGGAATCACTCCTGGCAGTGCTTGGGGGACCCTATGGGATGCTGGGAATCGAACCCGGGTTGGCCTCGTGCAAGGCAAACGCCCTACCCGCTGTGCTATTGCTCCAGCCCCTACAAGCATAGTTTTGCTTTTTTTAATCATAGGAAAGGGAAAGCACTAGAATGGAAAACAAGGGCAGATAAACTGGAGCCGATTGTCTTTTATTTATCAGTGATGGTATTGTTGATTTTTTTTTTCTGAGTGAAATGCTTTATAGGTAGTCCTTCCCATTCATTCATATTTACGGGTTGCCAGTGTTACCACCTTAAGCTGAAGTAGAGGGGGATTGGCTTGATGAGGTTGGAACTGGTTTCTTTTTTTCCTTTTTATTTTTTTCTTCTCATTTTGGGTCACACCCGGCGATGTTCAGGGGTTACTCCTGGCTCTGCACTCAGGAATCACTCCAGGTGGTGCTCAGGGGACCATATGGGATGCCGGGGATCTAACCTGGTCGACTGTGTGCAAGGCAAACGCCCTACCCACTGTGCTATTCCTCTGTCCCTGGAGCTGGTTTCAGAATTCAAGACTTGTCACCCTGAAGCCCAGGGGACCATCCCGCTGTGCATGTGCCTTGCAGTGTCTTTTTCATGGCCAGATCTCTCCCTTCCTTTCTGATTCCTTGTCATTGTCTGCTTAGATGATGGTATCCCGTCAAAACAAAGGAAACATCTTTCTCACTCAGTTAGAGGAAGGTGTGTGCTGGGGGTAGCCTGGAAGACGAGGCGGAAGCGTCTGCAGGAAAAGGAGCCTTGCTAGGTGCTGAAAGCTTTATTCTAGAGCAGAGACCAGTTTGATAGCACATGCTTGAAATGCCTGTTTGTTTGGTTTTTGTCCATCCGTGTTTTGGGGGCAATTTCCATTTTCAGAGCTTGAAGCCCCATCTCTGCTCGGACAGTCCCCACATTTCTATCTCCGCCCCCCACCAGATCCAGACCTTTCTCCTGTGCAGTCATGACACACATCATATGTAGCAACGCATGTAGCCATAGCCGGCTCCTGCCCCCCCCGCCACATTCACTCTCTCCCCCTTGGGACCATGGAAAGGTCCGGCTGATTGTCCAACCAGGCTGGTCCTGGACTCCTCACAGGCTGTCCCACCAAGCGCAGGTGTGTCTGTGGGGCCACCATAAAGACATTCACACATCAGGGGACCGCCTGACTTTCACTGCCAGCCTCAGACACTGCCAAGTGTCCCTGCCCGGTCAAGCTCAGTGACCTTGAACCCTCGCTGCCTCCTGCATGAACCAGAGTGATCCGTTAGACTGTTAGGCCTTGGCCTCTCTCTCACACACACAGACACAGACACAGACACACACACACACATACATATATACACACTCACACACATAGTCATATTCTGGTCTCAAGACCTTTACCCTTGGCTTTTGCCTTTAAGCCTCTCTCTCTCTCTCTCTCTCTCTCTCTCTCTCTCTCTCTCTCTTTCTCTCTCTCACACACACACACACACACACACACACACACACACACACAAAGTCATATTCTGGTCTCAAGGCCTTTACCCTCATTTTGGGTCACACGTGGCGATGCTCAGGAGTTACTCCTGGCTCTGCACTCAGAAACTACTCCTGGCCATGCTCAGGGGACCATATGGGATGCCGGGGATCGAACCCGGGTCGGGCCGCGTTTAAGACAAACGCCCTACCCGCTGTGCTATCACTCCAGCCCCAAGGCCTTTACCCTCATCTTTTGCTTTTAAGTTTCTCTCTCTCTCTCTCTCTCTCTCTCTCTCTCTCTCTCTCTCTCTCTCTCTCGATACTTGAGATTTCAAATGTTTGGTTTGTTTTGGGGCCACACCTGGTGGTGCTCAGGGCTCACTCCTGTCTCTGTGCCCCGCGATCATCCCTGGCCGTGCTCGGGGGACCATGTGGGGTGCTGGGGTTGAGCCTGTATCTGCTGTGTGCCAGCAGGTGCCCTCCCCGCTGTGCTCTTTCAGGACCACCCCCCCCCCCCCACTTGCAGGTCTTGCCTTGTGCACAGCCCTCAGCCTGTGCGGACCAGCTAGTGGCCAGGGGCCAGCGGCCCAGCAGCTCCCAGAGGGTCGGGGTGGGGCATCATCACACCTGCCCTCCCGAGGGGCCTTGGGGTGCTGGGAACCACTCACAGCCTTGGTCCCCGTGTTGAGATGGGGTGGGCTGGCGGCCTCCTGGGCCCCGTGTTCCCATCCTGCTAGGCTGGGGGCGTGTGAGAGGTCAGCTCCTGGGAGGGTGTTCCCATCCCGTGCCAGCTGTCCATGTTCCCAGTGTGGACATCCAGGTGTCCAGCTGTAGCCCTTCTGCTCTGGCTCCCAGAACGCCCTGGGTGCCGCGGCCCTGGGGTGCCGGCAGGCTCCTCCCGGCAGCCCTGGCTCTGACAGGAAGGCACAGAGACGGCTGAAGGTGCACCCCTGCTCCGTGCCAGCCCCCCAGTCCTGTGTCCAGCACGACTCAGGGGTGGCAGGCCGGCAGCTGAGTGCCAGAACAGGATGCGCCTGGCGCCTGCCGTCAGCGGTCTCGGGGGGGCCGGCCCCCCTCTTCCAGCTCACTCCTTGGTTCCCCTTCACGTCTGTGTGCTGCTGGGGTGGAGATCCAAGAGGCCGCAGTCAGGGCTGGTGGGCAGCGGCCCCAGCCTTGGCAGGCAGGAAGGGGGTTGGGGTTCTGTTCCCCTGACGTGTCAGGGGGCGCACTCCCAGGCGGGCAAGGGGAGTGGGGGCCGTGGGCACAGGGCACTGAAACACAGCCTGGACTGTCCCGGGAGCCCTGGGCGAGGCCTCCTGCCATTGGGGGTGGGGGTCCTGGTCCTTTTGGGGAAAACAGTGGGTATAGATGGGAAGGCCGAGCTGCAGGGACCCCCAAGGGGCTCTGAGGCTTCCAGGGAGTCCCTGGGCCTGGCAACACGTGGACATTCCATAGGGACAGCTTCGGAGGGCAGCCGAGGCGTTGGCCTGCCCATCACCTGGGCAGCTTTGGGCTGTGGGGTGAGATCTAGGTGGCCAGAGGCACCTGCAGGTGGGGACCCTGGTCTCCCACCTGCTGGGGATGCAGAGCTGGGGTCGTGCATGCTGCACCCAGCTCAAAGCACATGTGACTGGTAGCCACCCAGGGAGAAAGAAGGGGGATGCTGGGGAAGGCTGGGGTGCTCCCTGCCCTTGTAAGCTGTGTTCACAGAGCCCGGGCTTCCCCCCCACCCCACCCCCAGAGACCCAGGAAGGAAGGGGGAACCTACATTCTTTCTAGAACTTTCCTCTGTCTCTGTCCTAGGGTGGGATGACTGCAGGTCATGGCACTTGGGGGAACCCTCTGTGGTGCCAAGAATCAAACTGGGGGGTGACCAAGTGCCAGGTGGGCGCGCTGAGTCCCTGTCCTGTCTCTGCAGTGTAGGTAGAGTGTGGGCCACGCTGGGGGCAGGACGGGGAGGGAGCAGCGTGCCGGCATGTCGAGAGCACTTGGAGGGAGGGGAGGGGAGCTGCACTCGAGCTAGGCTCTGGCCTCTTCCAGAAAGAAAAGAAGGGCGGGAGTGGGGGAGAACATTCCAGAGAGATCTGCCACCACAGAGGCCAGGGAGGGATTGTGAAACACCTCTGCTTTGGGGAACCCTGTGGGGTCTGGAGTGGACAGGACACTGTCAGACTTCGGCCTCCATCTCTGCACCAGTGACAGGCGTCAGACTCAGGTAAAGAGGCCAGTGTTCTGGGGCCGAGTGATAGCACAGCAGGGAGGGCATTTGCCTTGCATGAAGCCAGCCTGGGTCCGATCCCCGGCATCCCCTATGGTCCCCTGAGCACCGTCAGGAGTAATTCCTGAGTGCAGAGTCAGGAGTAACCCCTGAGCATCGCCAGGTGTGACCCCCGCCCCTCCAAAAGGTAAGAGACTAGTGGATTTCGGGGGGTTTCCATCTGCCAGACTCTCTTCCTGGGCACCGTCACCAGGCCCAGGTTATCGATGAGAAGCAGAAACTGAGCAGGCTGGCATCCCGTGGCTTGGGGCACCAGCCAACCCGGCAGGCAGCTGGCATTGGTGACCCTGTCTCGGGAGGTAGGGAGGTGTCCTGGCCCAGGCAGCCAGACTTGGGGGCATGTGCGCCCCTTCCGGTGTACGAGCTCGTGACCCTGTGGGTCTGAGGTATAAATACCCCACCCGGCTCACGGCTTCTCTATCAGCTCATGCTCTCAGGTTCATTGACTGCCTCCCGTGGGCTCCTGTGTGTTTTGGGGGGGGAGGGTGCTTCCTGGGGAAATCAGGAGCAGGGGGGCAGCAGTCCCTAGGGTGTTAGACACTCGCACATGGCCCTGCCCCAGGGCGCCCTGTGGGTTCAGGGTGTGGAATCACAGAGGCTGGACCTGTGAGTGTGATGGACACCCACCCCAAAGCCCCGCCCACCCGAGCCCCGCCCCTACCAAAGCCCCGCCCACCTGATGCCACGCCCCTCATCAGTGAGGGTACCGCCTGTGACCGTGGGTTATGGTGTTGGGTGGGCTGGGTCACCAATGCACAGGCAGGCAGGTTGGGGTGGGTCTCCAAACTGCCCCACTGTCACCCCCTTCTCAACCTTATTGCCTATTCAGTGCTCTCTCTCCCTCTCTCCCTCCCTCCCTCTCTCTCTCCCTCTCCCTCTCTCTCTCTCTCTCTCTCTCTCTCTCTCACTCTCTCTCTCCCTCCCCCACCCTTCTTTCTTTCCAGGTTCCCAGAGGCCCCAGGCCAGAGGACAGTGCTGGTGGGCAGCGCCCTGGGTGCCGTGGTGAGGTGGGCATGGGAGAGCGAGCCCAGCTGACCGGAGACCCCGTTCTCTTCCAGACGGAGGGGGAGGGCAGGGGGCCCCCCCCCGCCCGGCAGAGGGATGCAGTTCTTCGGCCGCCTGGTCAACACCCTCAGTAGCGTCACCAACCTGTTCTCCAACCCCTTCCGCGTGAAGGAGGTGAGCGTGGCCGACTACGCCACCAGCAGCCGGGTCCGGGAGGAGGGCCAGCTGGTTCTGTTCCACAACGCGCCCAACCGGACCTGGGACTGCGTCCTGGTGAACCCCAGAAACTCACAGAGTGGATTCCGGTGGGTGTTGGTTCGCGGCCACAAACGTGCCCTTCCCTGATCCCCCCCCCATCACCACACACACGCACACACACTTTCTCCCAGGCTGTGGCACCCCTGACCAGGGAGCAGCTTCCTGGGCCTCAGTGGAGGGGTGGGGGCGGGCTGGTGGGGGCTTTGCTGACTTCCTGCCCTTTCTGGCCCGTGGGGTGCTGCGGTGTGGGTCTCTTGTGGCCCTGCAGGTGGATGGGACCAGGGTGGGTCTAGAGGCCAGGAAAGCCCTGGAGAACAGCAGCCAGACAGACAGGTGTGCATTGAGGAAACTGAGGCAGCAGCCCCTCAAGGTGGTTGGGCAAAGTCCCGGCGAAGTCGTGGCAAGGCCAGATGTTTGCCGGGCAGCTTCCCAAGCCAGCGCTGTCGGGCCTCAGATGCGCTCCATTGCCAGGCCCTAGCCGGGACCGTTTGTCGCGATTGGCTGAGTATCCTAGGGCGTGGGCCCCAGACCCCTGGTCACTGCTTGGGGGCCCTGCCTGGCCCTGCCAAACACCGCACAAGTGTGCAAAAGTCCTGGTAGCTCAGTGACTCATGCCAGGCCCTAGTGGGAAGAGAGTGCTGGGGGGTGGGGTGGTGAGTGCTGCCGGGCACATGTGAGACCCTAGGTTTGACGCCCTGCAGCTCAGAAAACAGTGCCCCGGACCCCTTGGAGACCAGGCCCCTTCCACCACCTTTTACTCCTTTTCTCCCAGAGAAAGGGGACCAGTCACCCATCTCTGTCTCTTTTTTTTTTTTTTTTTGCTTTTTGGATCACACCCGGCGATGCACAGGGGTTACTCCTGGCTCTGTGCTCAGAAATTACCCCTGGCGGTGCTCAGGGGACCATATGGGATGCTGGGACTCGAACCCGGGTTGGCTGCGTGCAAGGCAAATGCCCTACCCGCTGTGCTATTGCTCCAGCCCCTGTGTCTCTTTTTTTGGAGGGGGGCAGGTTTTTTGGATCATACCCATCAATGCCCAGGACTTACTCCTGGCTCTGCACTCAGAAATCACTCCTGACGGCGTTCAGGGGACCCTCTGGAGTGCCAGGGATCGAGCCCAGGTGGGCTGTGTGCAAGGCAAGCGCCCTCCCCACTGAACTGTCTGCCCGGCCCCAAATCCCGCTGCGCGTTTTCACTCGGAAAACATTCCATGCAGAGAACAAAGCCAGCCAGCAAAATCGCAAGTGGCCAGAACCCTTGGGCCTTGACATTCCGACCGAGATTGGCGTTGCTGCTGCTCTGATTTCCTCCCCTCGCGGCCCTGCGGGAAGCGCCCTGTGCCCACAGCCCCGACCTGCTCTGTCGCCGTCCTTGGAACCTCGCGCCGCCCTCATCGGAGTCTGTTTTGGCCGTGTTTTCACTTAGCAGAGGGCCATTGTCGTATTTTTCCATTTTCTCCTCCCTGTATTCGGGGATTTTAACCGCCCCCCCCCCACCCCGGGGTCCCTTTAGTGATAATGGGTGAGAGTCCTTCTGCGTCTGTCTGTCTGTCTGTCTCTCTCTCTCTCTCTCTCTCTCTCTCTCTCTCGGCCTCCCTCCCTCCCAGGCTCTCTCGCTGACTGTGTCTAGGGCAGACAGCCCCTGCACAGGGAGGGGAACTTTCCCTAGACCCTGCCCTGGTGGCTGGTTCGTGACCTGCCCTGTGGCCCACAGTCGCTGCTGTCCTGTACAAGTCCAGCTTTGATCGGCTCTGGACAGTTTCTCTCTCTCTCTCTCTCTCTCTCTCTCTCTCTCTCTCTCTCTCTCTCTCTCTTTCTCTCTCTCTCTCTCTTTCTCTTTCCTTTTTTTTTCTATTTAGTTTATTAGTTTTTTGGGGTTCATACCCGGTGATGCTCAGGGGTTCCTCCAGGCTCTGTACTCAGAAATTACTCCTGGCATTGCTCCTGGGGCCCTGTAGTATGATGGGAATCGAACCCAAGTTGGCTGCATCCAAGGCAAACACTCCCCACTGTGCTATGGCTCGGGCCGACTCTGGACAGTTTCAAGCTTTGGTTTCAAGTTCCATACTTCCGGGCTTCACTCTAAAGCAAACAGGACACGTGTCTCCTGGGAAAACTGGACCCCAGGGAATTGCCCAGAGACCCATCCTCTGGCCCCTGGCCTGGTGGGCAAGAAGATCTCGCCACTTCTGCCAACATCCATGAAACTCTGGCTGGCTCCCTGGATAGTCTGCAAGTGGGACAAAATGCAAACCCTTTGCCATTCTCGATAGAATGCTTGAGACTGTCACCCCCCCCCCCCCACACCTCCCCTGGGACTCCCGTGTCTTCCAGCCCAGCCAGCAGGCCTTCTAACCCTCGGAAGCCCCTCCAGGCCACATCTTCACTTTTTGGTGTTCTTTGTTTTTTGGTTTTTTTTTTTTTTTTTTTGCTTTTTGGGTCACACCCGGCGATGCTCAGGGGTTCCTCCTGGCTCATCCACTCAGGAATCACTCCTGGCGGTGCTCAGGGGAACCCTATGGGATGCTGGGAATCGAACCCGGGTCGGCTGCAGTGCCAGGCAAACGGCCTCCCCGCTGTACTCTCGCTCCAGCCCCGCGTCTTCAGTTTTTGTTTCTGTGACAAACCTGTGGAGAAGTGCAACCGCCCCCTCGTGTTTTGATCCACCCACAGAGATTTTCAGTTCCCCTCCGTGTTCTCTGCGCGGTGGGGATGGAGCTCGCTTGGCGTAGGACAGGCCCCGGGTTGCAGCCCCACATCTCACCCCACCCCCACACCGCGTCTTCATCTGTCCACCTGAGATCAAGTTCCTTCAGTTGGAAGTGAACCCTCTCTGCTTCCTGCCGCTAATGACCAAGATTCCTCTCCTTTGGCTCGGGAAATGTTTGGGCTACACTTTCAGCCTGGGAGGGCCTTTGTTTGCGTTTCACGCAGGGTCTGGAATTCTCATGCTGTGCAGGTCTTTGAGGTCCCAAGGCCTGGCTTCCTGCTCAGCTTCTCGGGAACCAGCTGATGCTGCTGTTGCCTGCTGACTTTCCTTCCTCTGCGATTCTTTTCTCTCTTATTTTGATGTTCGGATCTCTCCTGTTTTCATGTTGGGATCACACCCAGCAATGCTAAAGGCTGACTCCTGGCTCTGCGCCCAGAGATCGCTCCTGGTGGACCAATCAGGGGATCCTGTGGGGTGTCGGGAATCGAACCCAGGCCAGCTGCGTGCAGGGCAAGCGCCCACCCGCTATGCCATCTCTCTGCTCCCCCCTCTGCAATTTTAATCTTATTTATTTATCTATTTTATTGCTTTTTTGGGTCACACCTGGCGATGCTCAGGCATTTTGTCTGGCTCTGCACTCAGGAATCACTCCTGGCAGTGCTCGGAGGACCCTGTGGGTTGCCGGGGATCAAACTCCAGGGGGCCGTGTGCAAGGAAATACCCTTCCAGCTGTACTAGCACTCTGCCTCCCCTCCCCCTGCCACAGTTGTTTTTTGCTTTTTGGGTCACACCCAGCGATGCTCGGGGGTTAGTCCTGGCTCATACACTCAGGAATTACTCCTGGTGGTGCTTGGGGTTCCATATAGGATGCTGGGAATCAAACCCGGGTCAGCCGCTTACAAGGCAAATGCCCTCCCCCAGTTGTTGTGTGTGTTTGTGTGTGTTTTTGCTTTTTGGGGCCGGAGTTACTCCTGGCTCTGCACTCAGAAATTACTCCTGGCGGTGCTCGGGGGAACCCTATGGGATGCTGGGAATCGAACCCATGTCAGCTGCGTGCAAGGCAGATGCCCTCCCCGCTGTGCTATCACTCCAGCCCCCCACCGCAATTTTTAAAATTTCCTCTGTGCTGTTGGTTTTCAGTCCCGGTAACATGCTACAGGTTGCCGTGGCAGTTAGGGCACACAGCGTTGTCAGGGGACCACACTCAGTGGCTCGGAAACAGTAACTGTCTAACTCAGCGCTGTAGCATGGGTATATCTCAGAGGGCAAGGCTTGGGTCTCCAAGGAGTCAGCTGGCGGGAGTGACTACGGGTCCCCGAGTGAGGTCGCCCGGGGCCACGGGTCAGTGCCTGGTGTCTTCAATTTGCCTCTGGCATGAAGGCGGGGTCGAAAGAGAAGAAATAGAAGCTTCCAGTTGGTTTAGCTTCCCTTCTGTTATGTTCTATGTGGTCAAAGGGTTAATGAGTCGGATTCGAGAGTAGAGACAGTTCTCACTGTTGTGTGTGTGTGTGTGTGTGTGTGTGTGTGTGTGTGTGTGTGTGGTGGGGGCAGGGGAGCGGGTATCAGAGACTTGTGGGTCTTTTCTCTTCCCTCCCTTCCTCCAGTTTTCTCTTGCTCTGTTTTGGAAGAGGGCTCATATGGTATTTTGAATCATTGGTTGTTTTTTTGGCTTTAGTTTATGGGCCCCACCCAGCAGTGCTCAGAGCTTATTCCTCCTGGCATTGCACTCAGGGATCACTCCTGGGTGGGGCTCACCCCTTTGGGGTGCCAGGAATCGAACCCGGGTCAGCCACATTCAAGGCAGGCGCCCTGCCCCATGTGGCCATGCTGTGTTATCGCCACAGCCGGAATTTCAAATCACTGAAACGTTTTTCACCCCTTTTGGAAAGCTCCCAGTTATGAAGTCTTTGAGCATGGTTTCCATCCAATTCTTTTCTGGTAGCTTTGGGGCTTCACTTCTATGCCTGTTGGGTCTGAGCTAGCACAGTCCGGACCTGATTGACTCAGCCTTTGCCCTTGTCTCTTCATGCTTCGTTTTGTTTCCTTTTTTTTTTGCTTTTTGGGTCACACTCGGCGATGCTCAGGGGTTCCTCCTGGCTCTGCACTCAGGAATTACTCCTGGCGGTGCTCGGGGGACCCTATGGGATGCTGGGAATCGAACCTGGGTTGACCGCGTGCAAGGCAAACGCCCTCCCTGCTGTGCTATCGCTCCAGCCCCTGTTTCTTTTATTTCTAAAAGATCTTCATGATCTCTGGTTGTTCCTTTTGGTATAGTTTAGTCCACTGAGGTCTTTATTTTTGGTTTGTTTGTTTTTGAGTCATCCCTGGTGGCAGTGCTCTTGAATCTGTGCTCAGGGATCACTCCTGGGAAGCTCAGGGGACCATATGGGTGCCAGAGATCAAACCTTAGTTAATCGTGTAGAAAGCAAATGCCTGGTCTGCTGAAATATCTCTCTAAGTTCTTCATTTTGAGTGTTTTTTTCTTTAGTTTTGTTTTGTTTATGGCTTTGGGCCACGCCTGGCAGTGCTCAGGGCTTATTCCTGGTTCTGCACTCAGGAATCACTCCTGGCAGACCTGGGGTGTGTGTGTGTGTGTGTGTGTGTGTGTGTGTGTGTGTGTGTGTGTGTATGATGAGAGGCCAGTAGCATGCTGGGCATTGAACCTGGTCGGCTGAGATCATTCTGGCCCAACCAGGGTTAATTTCTGAGTGCAGAACCAGGAGTAACCCCAGAGTCTCGCTGGCTCTGCCCCCCCCCAACATAACAAAACAAAACACTAGAAATAAAATATTCCCTAGCTTGTTGCTCTTCTTCACCTTCTCCTTGGGTAAACTTAGTTCTGTGGTCACTCTCCTCTGATTTGTCTTTTTATTTAGTCTTTCTCTTCATCCAATCAACATATTGTCCACCTGGAGGAAATAATCCAATCCTGTTTTCATTCCTTTTGACGGATTTCAGGATGCACAAGTCCCCAAGATCTCCCCTTGACTGTTTTTCGTTTGAAATCCACCATCCTGGATTCCGCCATCACTTCATCCTGCTGGGCCCCCTGGCTCAGGTGGTATCGCCACAAAACCCGGGGTGCAGAAGACCCCAACACACCTCCTGGCCCCTAGAGGACGCAGGGAGGGAAGGTTCTTCCCACAGTCACACAGAGTGGCCGTGGGCCCTGCAGCAGGTGCCTCCTCCTGGCTGCCCGCCAGTGTTCCATAGTGCGTCTACTGTGGTGGCCGTGAGGTGCCCCCCCCCCAGATCGGTGCCTGGACCCGGGGGACCCCGGAGTTTATCCCCACCGCCCGGGTTTTCAGGGAGTCGCTTCTCGGCCCTCCTGAGGTCGGGGGAAGGAGACCTCAGCCCCGGCCTCTTAGTCGAGGATGTAGAAAAGATTTCCAGGAAACTGGCAGCGAAGGCAGGCAAAAGCGCAGCATTGGCTGTGGATGGTGCCCGTGTGGGGGCAGGCGGGCAGTCATGGGGAGGGGAACCCACCAGGGCAGAGGAAGTGCTCTCACTCTGGGTTGCTGAAGGCAGTGGATTGTGATGGGGGGTCTCGAGGCAGGTGGTCATGCTAGGGGTGTTGCCCTGGACTGGTCAGCTGGTGTGTGTGTGTCTGTGTGTGTCTTCCTTGTCCTAGCCTTATCAGGGCCTTTGACCGTGTGTGTGTGTGTGTGTGAGTGTTTGTGTGTGTTCCTTGTCCTATTCTTATCAGGCCTTTGACTGTGTGTGTGTGTGTGTGTGTGTGTGTGTGTGTGTGTATGTCTTCCTTGTCCCAGCCTTATCAGGGCCTTTGGTGGTACCTGATACCAGGCCTCCAGGTATCAGGCGATGGAGATAAACTCCGGGGTCCGAGGGTCCAGGCACAGAGGGCTCCGGGCCTTCCCCTCCAGCTGGCCATGCATGTCCTTATTTTGTGGCTTCCTGAAATTTATTACCTGCTTGCCTGCCTCAACCCATGATGAAAGTCATGTGTGTTCCTGGTGGAAAATTTAGAGAGGAAGAGCTTGGGATGATGGTGCTGCAGTGTCCACATTGACCTCTGTCCTTCCCGGCTTTGATCTTTTATGGCATGTAGATTACGTTATATCATAAAAGGGGGGGGAAGTGTTGTGACTTGCTGTCTTCACATTGCAGAATAGACAGGTGCCTGTTCGCTGAGTCATTGTAATGGCTGTATAATATTCCATCGCCGAGGGGCTGGGTTCATGACTGTTTATGGAGGTAAAGAACTGTTCTTCATGGTCTGGGACTTGCAGATGTGACTCTTACATTAGAAATGTGCGTGACGGTTTAGAGCAATAGTACCATGGGGAGGGCATTTGCTTTGCATGCAGCTCACCAGGGTTTAGTCTCCGGCATCCCATAGGGTCATCTGAGCACTGCCTGGAGTGATTCCTGAGTGCAGAACCAGGAGTAACCCCTGAGTATTGCTGGGTATGACCCCCCCCCCACCAAAAAAAGGAATATGCATGACAGAAAACTATGTCAAGACCAAGAAAGTGTGGTTTTTTTTTTCTTTTTGGGTCACACCCGGCGATGCTCAGGGGTTACTCCTGGCTTTGCACTCAGGAATTACTCCTGGCGATGCTCAGGGGACCATATGGGGCGCTGGGAATCGAACCTGGTTGGGCCACGTGCAAGGCAAACGCCCTACCCGCTGTGTTATCACTCCAGCCCCGAGAAAGTGTGTCTTTCAAATGAAGAAACTGCAGCTTCATTTAGATGAGTGTCTGTGGGTCTGGGTGAACTGCTGTGAGCGTGTGTGTGTGTGTGTGTGTGTGTGTGTGTGTGTGTGTGTGTGTGGTGGGACAGGGTGGCCCATTGCGGGCAGGCAGTGACTGGTCAGTGTGGACCAGAGTCTGTTTTTTTGGGCGGGTGCTCTCAATCAGTGCTCAGGACTCAGGGTCTCCCAGCAGTGCTCAGTTTAGCCATGTGGACAGGTTAGAAACGATTCCTAGTGACATGCGGCTGCTTGGGAGGGGCCTCCAGGGCTACCACCAGGGGTGCTTCGGGACCCCGCAGAGCCAGGCACCCAGGCCAGCCCGCAGCGCCCTCTGCCGGCCGGGCCCTCAGGCGCCTCCCGCCGCGGGTGTGGCCGAGGGTCTCACCGCTGCCCCCTGGCGGCCCGCAGGCTCTTCCAGCTGGAGGTGGAGGCGGACGCGCTGGTGAGCTTCCAGCAGTACAGCTCGCAGCTGCCGCCCTTCTACGAGAGCTCGGCGCACACGCTGCACGTCGAGGCCCTGCAGCACCTGACCGACCTCATCCGCAGCCACCCCGGCTGGTCGGTGGCGCACCTGGCCGTGGAGCTGGGCATCCGCGAGTGTTTCCACCACAGCCGCATCATCAGGTGGGCGCCGGGGCGCAGGGGCGGGGCTGCTCCGTGGGGGAGTGGGGAGGGGTGGGGGGTGTGCATGTGTGTGGGGGGGAGAGTGGGGGTGTTGGACGTGCATGTGGGCGTGTGGGAGGGGCAGAGGGGAGGGGTGTGCGTGTGGGGGGGAGGAGGAGAGTGGGGGTGTTGGGCGTGCATGTGGGTAGTGTGTGTCCGTGGGGTGTGTGTAGGTGTGCCTGCATGTGTGTGCATGTGGTATGGGTACGCAGGGTGTGTGCGGGTGTGTGCATGTGTGTGTATATGGGGTGCGGTTGTGTGAGTGTGTGTACATGTGTGCATAGATGGTTTGTGTGTACATGGTGTGTGTATGGCCTGGGTATGTTGGGGTATGTGGGTGTGCCCGTGTGTGTGTACGGTGTGTGTGTATGGGGTGTGTGTGTGTGTGTGTGTGTGTGTGTGTGTGTGTGTATGCTTGGCGAACCCTATGGCCGTCTGTCCTCCACCCTCACAAAGGTTATCGGGATGTGAGGACTCCCACCGTGTGGACCCGTATTACCACTTCCACAGCCCCATGCCCAGCTCGGCCCTGAGACCCACAGCTGGGGGATGCTCCCTGGTGGTGCTCAGGAGACCCAGTAGGGGGAGATTTGACTCACAGATCCCACAGGGGGGCCGCCTCCTGCTCCGCACTTTGTGTTCTTACGGGCGCATACCCCATATTGCTGGGGCAGGGACCCTGGGACCCCGGGGCTTCTCCTGGCACAGTGGTCAGTGGGGGGTCGGCAATCGGCAATGCTGGACCCAGGGTGCTCAGTGGTCGCCTGAGCTACACCCGCTGGTGCTGGTGCTGGCCTTGTGGTGCCAGGATCCAACTCGGGGCCTCTCATACCCTAGGCATGACCCCCGCCCCCTGAGCCATGCCCCCCGGCCTGGGTGCAGCAGCCCCCAACATTTCTGGCCTGTGTGGGCCTGAAGAGATTGTGTCGTCACAGTGGGAGACACAGCCCTGACCCTCCAGGTGTGCACACACACACACACACACACACACACATATATACGTGTCCCTCACCTGGGACACACCTCTGCCACTGTCCGTGTGAAGCATCCCCTTGAACGTGGTGTCCTCGTCTCTGCATCTTGGGGTCCTCAGCCCCCCCCCCGCGCCCCACTTCCCTCCCGGGTCCTCACCTCCCCGCTCCGCCCCTGCAGCTGCGCCAACAGCCGGGAGAATGTGGAGGGCTGCACCCCACTGCACCTGGCCTGCCGCAAAGGCGACAGCGAGATCCTGGTGGAGCTGGTGCACTACTGCCACGCGCAGCTGGACGCCACCGACAACAACGGGGAGACGGCCTTCCACTACGCCGTCCAGGGCGACAGCTCCCAGGTGCTGCAGGTGAGCTGGGGAGACCCCCTCCCATCCTCCCCAGAGTGTGGCTGCATTCCACCTGGCTCCCCCAGACCCTGAGGTCTGAGCTCCGTGGGGGAGAGTCCACCCACCCTCTCCCGGCCTGTGCTGCCAAGGCGGCACCGCCCTGGCACTGGGCTCTGACCCACCTCAGCTCCTCCTACCAGCATCCCAGCCCCCCACCGCATCCCCCCATCTCACCTTTCCCACGCCCCCCCCCCCCGCCAGGAGGGGCCTTAACTCTCTCCCGGGGGTCCTCAAACAGCCAAGACCCCTGGCCTGCTCCCGCTGGCCTTTGTGCAGGGGGAGCATTTCAAAATGTTTGATCCCTGGGCAGACAGGAGTTAGGGTTGGGGGGGCTGAGTGAGAGATGCACAAGCCCCTCTGAGACGGGTGACGTCAGAGAACCAGCTCGAATAAGAGGGGGCTCCCTGAAGGCCTCTCCTTCCGACCAGCATGGAGCACTGCCATCTAGAAAAGGGGAGTCCTCTCCCCCGAAATGTGCTTGGGGAGGGCATCCTGCACCCACCTCAAGCCCCCCCTTTTTTTTTTTTTTGCTTTTTGGGTCACACCTGGAGATACTCAGGGGTTCTTCCTGGCTCTGCACTCAGGAATTACTCCTGGCGGTGCTCAGGGGACTATACGGGATGCTGGGAATCAAACCCGGGTTGGCCGCATGCAAGGCAAACGCCCTACCCGCTGTGCTATTGCTCCAGCCCCTTGAGCCCCTTCTTGAGACCCCAAAACCTGACCCCCACACACTCCTCGTCGGGTCATGTTCGTGCCAAGCTGGCCTGCCAGGCCCGGCTGGGCCCCTGCCCAGTGTCATGGTGCTCGGGTGCCTCCCCCAGAGACCAGCCATAATTCACCCCAGGAGACAACCGCCGGCCCCAGGGGAGGACAAAACAGCCTCGGGGCTCTCTCAGGGCTGTGTTTCTGTGGGTTTTGTTTGTTCTTTCTGTTTGGTCACACCTGGAGGTGCTCAGGGCCATCCCTAGTTCTGCTTGGGGTGACTCCTGAGACTGCACAGGGGCCTGTATTTGTTGTCTGAGATGGACCCAGGGCTCCTGCACGCAAAGCCTGCACTCCAGCCCTTGGACTGTCTCTCCAGCACCCTGTTTTTGTTTTGTTCTGTGGGTCTTCTTTTGGGGGGGTGGGTCACACCCGGCGATGCTCAGGGGTTACTCCTGGCATTGCACTCAGGAATAGCTCCTGGTGGTGCTCGGGGGACCCTGTGGGATGCCGGGGATGGAACCCAGGTTGGCATGTGCAAGGCAAACGCCCTCCCCACTGTACTATCGCTCCAGCCCTTGTTTTGTGTTTTCATGGCAAAAATAAAACCTACCTGCACAAAGCAGGTCCCCAGGATATCCATGAAAGCTGGACTCACTCTCACCCAGCCCCGGCGCTTCTCCCGGATGCAGTTTCCCCGTCTCCCACCCCCCCACCCCCCGGACTGCCCTCCTCGATCCTGTCTGAGGGCCCTGTGCCGCCCACCGCGGTGACCCGGTCCGACTGTCAGCTCCTAGGGAAGAACGCCTCGGCCGGCCTGAACCAGGTCAACAACCAGGGCCTGACCCCGCTGCACCTGGCCTGCCAGATGGGCAAGCAGGAGATGGTGCGCGTGCTGCTGCTGTGCAACGCGCGCTGCAACATCCTGGGCCCCACCGGCTACCCCATCCACACGGCCATGAAGTTCTCCCAGAAGGGGTAAGCTCCGCCCCTCCGCGCCTGCAACAGCCCCGCCCCGCCCCTCGTGCCCCGGCGACACGCCCCCTTCCTATGCTGCCCCGCCCCACCCGCAAAGGCCCCGCCCACGGCCCCTCCCACCCACAACGCCCCGCCCCTTATGTCACGCCCACAAAATGGCATGACCTACCAGGCCCGTGCCCCGCCCACAATGACACGCCCACCTACGCCCCGCCCACAAGGCCCCGCCCCTTACACAACGCCCATAAGTGGCTGACCCTGGGGTGACACGCCCCTTATGCTCCTCCTACGGCCCCGCCCCTTTCGTGCCCCGCCCATACTGAGGCTTGGTGACTCTAAAATGACGCTTGGCCTCCAACCTCCCTGTGCAAAAAAGCTAACAATACTATGTAGGGGGGAGCAGTACTATGAACAATACTAGCAGTACTAGGGAACAATACTATGTGGCAGGCGGGCCATCAGGGCTTCTCTCCGCAGTCCGGGGGATTAGGCCTGTGTGGCGCTGGGGATCAAGCTTAAGACCTTGTCCTTGAAAGGCATGGACCCTCTGGGGCTAGGAGGCAGGACATCCTGGCTGGCTGGGCGGTCCAGGGGCTCCGCAGTGCCAATGCTGGGGATCTAGTGCTCCAGCCCTTTGAACTTCTTCCTTGGTCCAGTGAAATCATTGCAATACTCCCTAGGGTACCACCCGCCCTTCTAGCCTCCCCAGGTGGTAGAATTTACGCGTCCCCAAGACTTGGAGGGGCCCACAAACTGGGGGTCTCTGCCAGCCGAGCTGTCAGCCCCAACCAGACAGTCCCTGCCCAGCTGCAGGGCGCAGTGGCTTCCGTGCCTGGCTATGTGGTAAGGCAGCCCAGCGCCCCTGTCTGCCTCAACATGCCTTTCCTTCCTCACTGAGTGCAGTGTCCTTGCGTCAGGCCCTATTTGGGGTTGCTGTAGACCATCTCCTCACTTCTCCCCTCTCCCCAGAAACAGTGACTTGGGGTGTGTTTGCCTGCATATGCCTGGTGTGTGTATTTCTCTGTGTGTGTGTGTGTATGTGTACACCAGGCATTGCTATCCCTGTGTGTGTGTGTGTGTGTGTGTGTGTGTGTGTGTGTGTGTGTGGGCACTGCTGTCTCTGCATTATACAGAAGCCTCCTTCCCTGTTGCCCCCAGCACACCCACGATGAGCTCGAACTGTCACCAGGACCTTACCCAATGTTTGGGGACAGTCCTGATCCCCACCCCTCACGCCAGGTGACCTAATGGACACAAGTGATGACAAAGTTGTCACCGCGACTGTGTCCAGCCTTGGTGCTGGTGCAGTGGCCGCTTTGGCCAGACTCTGTGGGTGTCATTGTGGCTGAGCCGCCTGCGACCTGGCCCCTGTTTGGCCTCTGAGGGCCAGGGTCAGGCCTGGGCGCAAAGTTTCACTTCCCGTGTTTCCTGGGCTCATTCTGTTGCGGCAAAAACCAATTCCCTTTTCTTCGTTGGTTTTGGTTTGGGGCTTGCTGGGAGGTTGAATCCCACTGCCTCACCTGTGCAGTCACGTGATTGGACACGAAGCCGCACCCCAGCACCAGAAGCTCCTTTTTCTTTTTCTTTTTTTTTTTTATTAGTGAAACACCATGAGGTACAGTTGTAGACTTACAATTTTTTGTGCTTGGGTTTCGATTATACAATGATCAGATACCCATCCCTCCACCAGTGCCCATTTTACACCACCATGGATAATATCCCCCCACCCCCATCCCCCCATCGCCCCCTGCCTCTGTGGCAGGGCAATCCCCTGTGTTCTCTCTCTCCTCTTGGGTGTTGTGGTCTGCAAAAGACGCATTGAGTGGCAAACATGTTCAGTCCATAGTCTACTTTCGACATGCATCTCCCCTCCTGGGAGGATCCTCCAAACACCCTTTATTTGGTGCTCCCTTCTCTATCTGAGCTGCCCTTTCCTCTAGGATACCCGTCTGGCCTCTAAGTTATGGAGTAATCCTCCTGGTGAGAAGCTCCTTTTTCTGTCAGAATTGTTCTGCATAGTCGTGTGTGTGTGTGTGTGTGTGTGTGTGTGTGTGTGGTGGGGGTGTTTCCAGCTTGTAGCTGCTGTGGTAAATGCAGCTCGGCCCACGGGTTCACAGATATCCCTGCCAGCCCCTGGGTCCGTTTCCGTTGCTAACAGACCTGGGAGTGGAGAGTACCCAAGTCTCTGCCTGCTTCTGACAGGCTGCAGGTGCCCACCCCACCCCCAAGCATCTGGTTGGGCTGCCGGGGTGGGAGGGCGGCGTGCACCAGTCACAGAACTAGGTTCAGGAATGTCTTGTCTTCTTAACACCCGCCCGTCCTATTGGATTGTCTCCCTATTGCACGTGGGCTCGGCCAGCACCCACAGGTCTCCACAAGGAAGCCACAGCCTGCCCAGCCCTGAATCCAGCACCAGGGAGAGCCATCTGGACTTGTTGGTTATCAAGGAAGGCTCCCTGGAGGAGGCAGCTTGAGCCAGGCCTCCAGGGGCTCACCATACCCTTACCTACCAGGCGGCCCGCGCGTGCTGGGCTGTCTGTTGTTGATTTTGTTATCTGTGGCAGAAACTCTTTCCAGCCAGTAGATGAAGGCCCAGGTTGAGTCCAGAGGCCTCTCCCAGCGCCAGGGGCCCCCATGTTGACCTTCCTCACTTCCCCATGGGCCCGCCTCCCCAGGTGTGCCGAGATGATCATCAGCATGGACAGCAACCAGATCCACAGCAAGGACCCGCGCTACGGGGCCAGCCCGCTCCACTGGGCCAAGACCGCTGAGGTAGGGGCGGGGTCTGCCGGTGAGTGGCAGGTTCCAAGGGGGGGCGAGGTCTGAGCTTAAGTGGCAGGTTCCAGGGCGGGCGGGGCCTAAAGAGGAGGAGTTCAAGAGTGGGCGGGGGTCTAAGGGTGAGTGGCAGTTTCCAAGGGTGGGTGGGGCCTGAAGATGAGAGGCAGGTTTCGAGATGGGCGGAGTCTGGGACTGAGTGGCAGGCTCCAAAGGTGGGTGTGGCCTGGGGCTGAGTGACAGATTCTGGGTGGGCGGGGCTTGAGACAGGTGGTTCGGGGTGGGCGGGGTCCGAGTTTGAGTGGCAGCATGGGCTCTGCAGTGGGCGGAGCCTGAGGCCAGCAAGCTCCTGGTTGGGTGGGGCCAGGTGAGTGGCAGGTCTTAGATTGAGTGGCTGGCCCAGCTCCTGAGCCCACTGGGCATTTTCTGAGGCCAAGAGACCTTTGAGCGGGGTGTTGGGGTCTTAACGCTGGTGCACGCCCTCTCTCTCGGCAGAGAGGCCCATGGGGAGGTGGCCATGGAATGACCAGGCCTCCACTTTGTGATTTCCTCCCCTCGGCGCTGGGGTCCAGCAGGGAGAGTGACCTGCTGGACCCTGGGGTGGGCTTCAGAGAGGAGACCCCCCCTGCAGGGACCGTCTTCTCGCCGGGAGCCTGAGTCCAGCCTGGCCCTTTCATTCGCGTGGTGGCAACTTTGTCCTTGTGGGCAGTCACGTGCATTTCCGTCCTCAACACGGGGTTCTGGGGCTCAGTCCCACTTGGGGTGTCCAAGGCGTGCGAGTTGGACTAGGGCCACGCCCAGATCTGCCGGCTAGAACTTTCTAGACACCGCTGGAGAGCGGGAGTCCCCACGCGCGAGGCCGGGAGGCAGTGGTGGGCCCTGACCCGGGGGTCCCGCAGATGGCGCGGATGCTGCTGAAACGGGGCGGCGACGTGAACAGCACCAGCTCGGCCGGGAACACCCCCCTGCACGTGGCCGTGATGCGCGACCGCTTCGAGTGCGTCATGGTGCTGCTGACCCACGGGGCCAACGCCAACGCCCGCGGGGAGCACGGCAACACCCCGCTGCACCTGGCCATGTCGGTGAGCCGCCCCGCGCCGCCTCCTCCAGGAAGCCTTCCGGGGCCGGAGCAATAGTCCAGCGGGGAGGGCGTTTGCCTTGCACACGGCTGACTTGGGTTAGATGTCCAGCATCCTGTAGGTCCCTGAGCACCGCCAGGAGTAATTCCTGAGTGCAGAGCCAGGAGTCACCCCTGAGCATCACCGGGTGTGACTGCCCCCCCCCCCCAATAAAAGGGAAGTCTTACAGTTTGGCGTGACCATATCCGGGAGCAGGGAATGCAGCCCTGCAGGGCAGGTTGAGGGAAGTGGACTGCTGGCCCATGGTCACTCAGGAGGGCGTGGTGAAGGGACAGGCAGGCTGGACACCAGGCCAGTTGTCCTTCCTGTTGTATGTCCTCAGCCCTCTCTGGTGGCCGGTGAGCCCTGAGGCAGGTGTCCATCTGGCTCAGTGGCCTAGTGGTGGGCACAGATGCTGGCTTAGATCCTGCCCTCTGTCCACTCTAGTCAGGCCACAAGCGTGTCCCTCCAGTCCAGCACAGACCTCCATGTCCCCCAATCACTCCTCACACCTGAGAGCTGACCGGGGGGGGGGGGGGGGGGGGGGGGGGGGGGGGGGAGGGGCGGGGGAGCCCGGAGCCTCCTTCTCGGGGTTCCCTGAGCGGCGGCTCCTTCCTCTCTCCCCGTCCCCACAGAAAGACAACGTGGAGCTGGTCAAGGCGCTCATTGTGTTTGGGGCAGAAGTGGACACCCCTAATGACTTTGGGGAGACGCCGGTATTCATGGCCTCCAAGGTCCACAAAGGTCCGTGCTCTGGACCCTGGAGCAGAGCTGGGCGGGTGGGGGCTCTGCGAGGGGTGGGGGTGCAGACCTGGTGGGTGGGGTGCAGAACCAGGGGGTGGGGTGCAGAATTGGGTGGGGTGTGTGGGCAGAGCCCGGGGGGTGCAGAGCCAGATGGGTGGCCCGCATTCCATCCCTGCACCCCCAAATTGCTCCCTGCACAGGGTCCCAGGAGCCCTGGGAAAATCAGGGGGACCCTCCTTTGCCCCAGAATAGGGGTGCTGGCCACTAAGTGGGCCGCCAGGGGTGGTCAGTGGGTGTCCCCTCCTGCCAGGGTCCAGGGGTTGCAGCAGGAGGAAGCTCTGGGGACTCAAGTGGTAGGAGGAAGGACCCCCCCTTGCAGGAGATGGGAGTGTGAGAATGTTGAGTGTGAGCGTGGGGGACTGTGGATGTGGGTGTGAATGAGAGTGAGTGTACATGTGAGTGTGGGGGACTGTATGTGTGACTGAATGTGTGTGTTCATGTGTGAGTAGTAAGTGTATGTGAGTGTGAGAGTGTGTATGAATGTGTGTGTATGCGTGTGAGGTGAGTTCATGTCAGTATATCAGTTTGCATGTGTATGAGTGTGAGTGAGTGTGTGCATATGTGTGTATGTGGGTGCATGTGTGTATATGTTTTTGTGTGTATGTGTGTGAGTGTGATTGTGTGTATGTGAGTGATCATGAATGTGTGTATATGTGTGTAAGTGTATGTGGGTGCATGTGAGTATATTGTATGTGTGTGAATATGAGTGTATGTGTGAGTGCATGCGTGTGTATGTGGGTGCATGTGAGTTTGTGTATGTATGTTAGTGTGTGAGAGTGTGAGTGTATGTGGGTGCGTGAGTGTATGTGTGTGTATGAGTGTCAGTGTGTGTATGTGTGAGTGTGTGTGAGTGTGTATGTGAGTGTAAGAGTGAGTGTGTTGTGAGTTTGTATGTATGTTAGTGTGTGAGAGAGTGAGTGTATGTGGGTGCGTGAGTGTATGTGTGTATGAGTGTTAGTGTGTGTATGTATGTGTGAGTGTGTGTGTGAGTGTGTATGTGAGTGTGAGAGTGTGTGAGTGTGTGTGTGTGAGTGTGGTGTGTGTATGTATGTTAGTGTGTGAGAGTGTGAGTGTATGTGGGTGCGTGAGTGTATGTATGTGTATGAGTATCAGTGTGTGTATGTATATGTGTGTGAGTGTGTATGTGAGTATAAGAGTGAGTGTGGTGTGAGTTTGTATGTATGTTAGTGTGTGAGAGAGTGAGTGTATGTGGGCGCGTGAGTATATGTATGTGTGTATGAGTGTGTGAGTGTGTATGTGTGAGTGTTTATGTATGTGTGAATATGTGTTTGAGTGTGTGGTGAGTATGTGTGAGTGATGTGTGTGTGAGTGTGTGTGTCTGTGTGAGTGTGTGTGTCTGTGTGTGTATATGTGTGAGTGTGGTGTGAGTGTGTGTAGTGATGAGTGTGTGTGTGAGTGTGTATATATGTATGAGTGTGTGTGTGAGTGTGAGTGTGCACACCCCGCCTCTGCTCTCAGGCTCACGCGTGTGCTGTCGCTGGCTGCTCGACTGTGGGGCCCGTGCGGGTCCTTCTCCCCGCCTGTTGCCAGGAGCGGGCGTGGGACTTGGTGCCGGCGCTGTCCCTGTGGAGCTGGGACTGGACGCGGCCCGGGCGGGTCCTGTGGTGGCCTAGAGCAGTCACGTGCCCTGCCGGGGCTCAGTCCCTACCCCCGTGGCCTTTGGGGCAAGGGGGCGCCCCCCGCGGACACCGTGGCTGAGCCTGTGCCTCCCTCTCCCACACCCTGGGCAGTGGTCACCAGGAGGGCACTCCTGACTCTGCTGAGAACCGTGGGGGCCGAGAGCCGCAGCCCCCTCAGCCAGGCCGGGCCCTCGGAGCAGGGCTCCGCCACCACGCTGCACCCCTTCTTCTCCCTGGAAAAGTCGCAGCCCCCGCCAATCAGCCTAAGCAACCTCGGTAGGCGCCCCGCCGGGCCAGGGGGGTGCTGAGGGGGACAGGGTGAGGGCGGCAGGAAGGACGGGGTGGCCCCAGGGGAGCCCATCCCCCCCGCCCCCACCCTGCCAGTTCCGGCTCCCTAACTCCCTAAGTTAGATGCGTGTCCCACTGAGCGGCCCCCAGCCGGGCTCTGGCCCCCAGAGTCCCCTTCTCCGGCCCGGCCCAAGGCTCGGCCATTCAGGAACAGGGTCTCCCGGGCAGGCCAGGCAGGACATCCTGAAAGGGACCGGCAGACACCCCGGCACAGGCAGGCGTTTTCCTCGGCAAGGATGGGGTCCTGGCCCCTGCCCCCGGGAGACCTCCCCACCCCCCGCCTGGCCTGGGGTGTGCCGGGCTGGAGCCAGCAGCGCCCCCCGCCCCAGCCCTGATCCTCCCCTGTCCATCCTTCCTCTCAGTTGGCAGGTGGTCAGACTGTGGCCAGGCAGGGCTGGAATGTGGCCAGTGGACCAGTCCCCCACCCCGGCCCACTCCCAGCCTCCCCTGCCCTCAGGCCTGGTGAGGGGGAGACCGCTTGCCGCTTGCTCCTGCTTGGCTGATACACGACGGGGCTGAGGCGGGGTAGTGTGGCTGAATGGTTAGGGGCGATGCCCCGAGGCCACGCCCGGACCTGGGATTACACTAGGGGCCGGGCAGGGGGTCTCAGAGGGATGGAGTGTCTCTGTCTGTTCCCAGGGAACCCCCGGGAAGGGCCCAGCCCTGGTGCTTACCTCGTGCGGGCTCTGGGGGGGGGGGGTAGGGGAACTCCCAGTGCCGAGTCCCTCAAGTGGGGTGCTCCCGCTGCAGCTGTCTGGGGTGGGCCTCCTCCCAGGGGCTGGTGCATAGCTGAGCTGGCCTGGGGGACCCCGGGGTGTCCCGCAGAACTCCAGGACATCCTGCACGTCTCGCGCGCCCGGAAGCCGGCCTTTCTGCTGAGCTCCATGAGGGACGAGAAGCGGAGGTGAGGGTCGGGGTGCTGCCCGGGGGCCCCTGAAACTCACAGGGACGAGACAGGGGCTGGGGGACCCTGTGGGGTGCGGGGGACGGAGCCTGGGCTGGCCACTAGCCACTGTCCTGTCTTCTGGCCCAGGAGGTCACAGCCGGGCACTGCCCGGCTGCCCCCCTGGAAAGGCGCTTCCATGGCCAAGTGCCAGCCCTGCTACCCACCATTCCCGGCCTCACCCCACTGCAGAGGCCCTGACCTTGCTCTCCTTCCCCACCCCTGCACCCCCCCAGGCCTCAGGGTCCTGAGTCAGCTGTGTGCGGTGGCCCAGGGCCTGGGGTGTGTGTCTGCACCTGACCCCCAGAGAGGCCGGAGGTGACCTCGTGTCCCAGGTCTCGGCTTGTCATGGCACAGACCCCCCCCCCCGCCCCGTGCCCCCTTGACCTGGGGGCCCTCATCCTGCCAAGGCTGCTGTCCTGTGATGTGAGTTGTGGGGGTGCCGACCCCCCCGCCCCGCACACACATACCCCCAGCCTCCCTGCTGCCTGATGTGGGCAGCCCCCCATCTTTTCTGCACCCTCACTTCAGGGCTGTGGGGTCCCCGGGACCCAGGTCTCCCCTCTCCCACCAGCTGCCCACAGAGCCTGGCCCAGATCTCCAGAAGCTTCTGGAAGCTTCCAGAAGGAGGGGGGGAGGCAGCAAGTGAGCAGCTTCTTTACCCCTGGGGGTGCTGGGGGCTGAGGTAGCCTCACAGGGGGAGGGGGGGGCGTGGAGACAGGAGGGGAGTCGAAGGAAGCTTCTGGATCCGAGCATGGACTGGGCGGCCCACCTCAAGGCGGGTGGGGCCTGGGTGTGGCTTCCCGGGGGCTGAGACTGGGACTCTGGCTCAGTACCCTGGGTTACGGGCCCCTGGGTGCCCTCCTCAGCTCCCACCTTTTTCCTACTCACTTGAGGGGGACCAGGGACCCCTCAGGGGCTTGGGGGCACTTCAGGGAGCTGTGAAGGGCCCCGTTCCTCGGGACCCTGTGACCCCACCAGCTTGACACCAACCAGCCCACCCAGACTTATTCTGGGGTCCAGCCCGAAGCGGACGAAGCCCAGGGCTGCCCTCAGGGCCCTGTCCACAGGGGCGCGGACCCGGGCCTTGCCCACAGCCCCCCCGTGTGTGTCCCCCCTCCCCCCACAGCCGCGACCACCTGCTGTGCCTGGACGGTGGCGGCGTGAAGGGGCTGGTCATCATCCAGCTGCTCATCGCCATCGAGCGCGCCTCGGGCATCGCCACCAAGGACCTGTTCGACTGGGTGGCGGGCACCAGCACGGGCGGCATCCTGGCCCTGGCCATCCTGCACAGTGAGCACCGAGCCGGAGCACTTCCTGTGGGCGTGGGCGGGACGGCACCCACCGAGGCCCCAGCCCCTCCTCTCCGCACCCCTACCGGGGATCAGGCCCTCACCCCCTCCACCATCCGGGACCCCCCCCATCCCCCGCTGACACACGTCTCAGTCCCTGGTCTGCTCACTGCACTTTGCCCACAGGGAGGGGAGGGGAGGGGTCACGCACCCGGCACGGGTCCGACCTCTGTCCCCCGCCCGAGGTGCCCCCCACTGCACGGCCATCTGGCCCCCCTCCCCCGACAGCTGGGCCTTGTCTGGGTGGGGGCCATCCTGGAGCTCATAGACTGTCCAGCCCCTCTGGCCAGCGGAGGGACCAGCACAGGCCCCCCTGCCCCCGGCCACTAGGCTTTGAGGGGGTGGGGCGTGGGGGTGGACTCAGTGCTGCCCCTCGGCTTCATTACACTTGGGTGTCAGAGGGGGAAACTGAGACTGCCTAGGAGTCAGGGCAGAACCAGGGCAGGTGCCCACCTAGGGGTCCTGGCTCTCCTCCCCCCTACTGGGGGGGGACTTTTCCCCCCTATCCGGGCTCTGTTTAGGATCTTAAGGCCCTCCCCCCCAGAAGCCCCCCAGCCCCTGCTCCAGCCCAGGCCTCTAGTCCTGGACAGTGGGGGCCCTGGACTGGCCACGTGCGCCCTTGCGAGCTCCCCCCTGAAGGAACAAAACGGAGGTTATGGGCCAGGGAAGACCCCAGCCTTGGGTGGGGAAGTGAGGGGTGGGGCCTGCCTGGGTGTGAAGGCGGCATGAGGGGGTTCCCAGAACCCGGCAGGGCCCAGCAAGGCCAGCCCCTCCCTCGGGGCCCAGGTCCCACTGCCCTGCGCTCCCAGGCCTGTGGGTGGCCACTGTCATGTCCCGGGCCAGCGAGCGGCCACTCGAGTGGGCATCCAAGTCCCAGGCCAGCCGGCGGCCACACCACTGTCCTCCCCCAGGCAAGTCCATGGCCTACATGCGCGGCGTGTACTTCCGCATGAAGGACGAGGTGTTCCGGGGCTCGCGGCCCTATGAGTCGGCGCCCCTGGAGGAGTTCCTGAAGCGAGAGTTTGGGGAGCACACGAAGATGACAGATGTCAGGAAGCCTAAGTGAGCCCCGGCCCGGCCCGCATAGGCGCCCGACCCGCCCGGGAAGGTTGGGGGTGGGGGGCAGAGAGCAGCCGTGGGAGCGCCCCTGTGCCCATCCTGTGTCCCCACATGCGGCGGGTCCTTCTGGGGGGCCTGCCCAGCACAGCTCCCTTCCTCCCGGGTACGGTGTGTGGAGTGGGGAGAGGGCATCCAGTGTGCCCCAACATCTGCAGGAGGGCCCAGGGGCCCCCAGGGCACCAATGCTGCTTTGTGGCCCCTTCCTGGACTCCTGCCCCTCCCCCCGCCCTTCTGCCCAGTTTTTTTTTATTTTTTGGCATTTTGGGTCCCACCTAGCGATGCACAGGGGTTCCTCCTGGCTCATGCATTAAGGAACTACTCCTGGTGGTGCTCGGGGGACCATATGGGATGCTGGGAATCGAACCTGGGTCGGCCACATGCAAGGCAAACGCCCTCCCCACTGTGCTATTGCTCCAGCCCCACTTTTTTTTTTTTTTCTGATGGGAGGTGGTGGGGGATATCTGGGCCATTCCAGGTGTGTTTGGGAGACTGACGTGCTGGGGACTGAGCCAGGCTCCACCCTGTGCTGGCGATGATCTCTCAGGCCCAGGGTAACACACAGACTTTCAGGGAACTTTGGACAAACACAGAAAGCCACAGGAAATGTCATCTCAGACTTGCTCACCCAAGAGCGTCCTTTGAAAGCAACCGTGTGTGTGTGTGTGTGTGTGTGTGTGTGTGTGTGTGTGTGTGTGTGTTTCTTCCCTTTTTTATGGGGGAGGAGCAGGGATGTAGGGATGCGTGTGAGACCCCCTGAGCCCCTGGGGCCGGCCCGGGACCCAGCACAGCTTCCCCCCACAGGGTCATGCTCACAGGGACACTGTCTGACCGGCAGCCGGCCGAGCTCCACCTCTTCCGGAACTACGAGGCCCCCGAGACCGCGCGGGAACCCCGCTACAACCAGAACGTCCACCTGAAGCCCACGACACACCCGTCAGGTGGGTCACCCCCAACCATGGGGGGTGTGGTGTGGAGGGATGGTCACTCGGCATCCCCCCCAGCCCCCTTTCCTTCTCATCCCCACTCCCGGCTTCACAGCGGGGGCTGCTGGGGCCCGGCAGGCCAGAGGGTCCCTTACCTCATGCTGCCTGGACAGGACGGTGGCACCTGGGCCTCGTCAGCCCTGTTTCTGGGGGTCCCCGCCGCTCCCTCTCCCCACAGCCCTGACTCCTCCAGACACACACTCCTACTCGCAAAACACACATACTTGTGCTCCTACACACACACATGCATATGCACACCTACCTCAGTGCATGCACACATGATATACACACACCTGCACCTAGTTAAACACACACCTACACCTACACAAATGTACACAGTTACACATATGCACGCAACCATCTACACACCTAAATAAACATGTACCTACCCACGCTGACACACACCTAAACACGTATGCGCATATGCACACCTACATGGATACACGTACCCACGTGTGCACACATATGCCTACTCGTGCACATTTGTGTGTACCTGCATGCCCACACTGACATATGCACATGCATCTACGCATGCATGCATGCAGTTACACACTTACACATACATGCCCACACAGGTACATGCACCTATACATATACACGTGTACGTGCAACTCCACACACCTGCGTGCATACATGCATCTACATATACACATTCACAAACACAGCTCCCAGTCTACACTTCCATGTACCTCTGCACGACACTTACATACTACCTGCATGACACATGCTTACAAATCAAGCGGGCACACGTACACACCTTCACATGCACACCGCATCTTTACGCCGCACGCACCCCTGCTGACATAGATATCCATGCACCTGTGCAGGTGCACGGACCCCTACATACCTGCACACACATCCACGCACTTCACGATGCATGAGCCACGTGCACACTCGTGCACACCTGCACACAGCCACCCCCCGCATGCTGGGGTTCACGCCAGTCTTCCGCGCGTCCCCCCAGACCAGCTCGTATGGCGGGCAGCCCGGAGCAGTGGGGCGGCCCCCACCTACTTCCGGCCCAACGGGCGTTTCCTGGACGGCGGGCTGCTGGCCAACAACCCCACGCTGGACGCCATGACCGAGATCCACGAGTACAACCAGGACTTGATCCGCAAGGTGAAGACCCTGGGCCGAGGGTGGGTAACTCTCCCGTGCCCTCCCCCCGCCCCCAGCCCCTCACTCAGGACCTACTCCTGGCAGGTGCTGGGGGTCCTACTCGGTGACTCTCAGGGTCTCGAGGTGCGGGGGATCCCCGGGGTCTGCCTGTGGAGGCATCTCCCGGCCCTTGGGCAGTTTTCCCGGCTCCAGAGTGCTGGATTGGGGCGTCTGCCTGCAGGCATGGCTCCAGGGGGCGCCGGGATACCTGGGCAGTTGGGATCCGTGGACAGTGTCTGCTGTTAGTGGGAGAGCCGAGGCCAGGACAAACCCCACCCAGCTGCCCAGCAGGGAGCCCGCCATCGCCCTGGGGGCTCCCCTCTGGGGGATGCAGACAAGGGCAGCCCCTCCCGGGGCCCAAGCTGTGATGGGGGGGGCACTGTGGGCATCTGGCAGAGGAGGGGGACCTTCTTGAGGGTCTGAGGGTCCTAGTGTGGGGACCTCATGCACAGGGGCGTTGACCACACCCACTCCACGCAAGGTTGGAGTCAGGGTCAGCAGCAGGGGATGCTGCTCAGGGTCCTCTCCTGCCCCTGGAGGCCTGCTCCTGCCTCCGGCTCCCCTGGGACCCCCCCCACCCCATGGGCGGGACTCCTAGGGGAGGTAGCGCTGAAGCCTGGGCCTGCACCCACAGGGCCAAGGCAGCAAAGTGAAGAAACTGTCAGTCGTCGTGTCCCTGGGGACGGGGCGGTCCCCCCAGGTGCCTGTGACCTGCGTGGACATCTTCCGCCCCAGCAACCCCTGGGAACTGGCCAAGACGGTTTTCGGGGCCAAGGAACTGGGCAAGATGGTGGTGGACTGTGTGAGTCCCTGGGGACACCTGATCGCCCCCTCCCAGGGCTCCTAGGGGTGTGGGCGGGGTTGTGTGCCCTCTGAGCGGGGACTGGTCCCCGAATCCATCCCCTCGCTGCCAGGGACCCACGGTGACCATCTGAGGCCGGGGGCTTTCAGCCTCCTGGGGTCTTTGCGCCTTTCCCAAAGCCCCGCGTAGAGGCGCAGAATACCAGGTGCCGGGGCAAGCGACTCCGCCTTGTCCCCACCCCATCCCCCACCGCGCCCCCGTGGGCGCTGCTCTGTCCAGAGCGCACCGCATAGCGCCCTCCTGAGGGCAGTGGGGGGACTGCGGCCCAGGTGGGGAAGTAGCCCCACGCCACCTTAGTGGGGGCTGCGGGAGGCCTGGCGCTCAGGGCTGCTCCTGGCAGTGCACAGACCCCGACGGACGCGCCGTGGACCGGGCACGCGCCTGGTGTGAGATGGTGGACATCCAGTACTTCAGGTGAGTGGCCGCCCCACCGTCACCGCCCCGCGCCACCCTGGCCCCGCCCCCGACTTCTGCTCCGCCCCGCCCTTGCCGCAGCTCCGCCCCCAGGCCTCAGTCCAGCTCCGCCCTTGCCCCGCCCCAGGCCGTCGCCCCGACCTGCTCCTGCCCCGCCCCCAGGCCTTCGCCCCGCCTCTGACGCTGCCCCGCCTCCAGGCCTTTGCCCCGTCCCTGCTGCCCAGCCCCTGCTGCTGCTGCCCCACCTTCCAGGCTGTAGCCCCGCCCCTGCTGCTGTTGCCCCGCCCCCGGGCCGGCGCCCCGCCCCTGCTGTTGCCCCGCCTCCCGGTCATCGCCCCGCCCCTGCCGCTGCCCCGCCCCTGGGCCTTCTCCCCGCCCTGCCACGCCCCCTGCCGCAGCCCCGCCCCGCCCCGGCCGAGTGGTCCTCGCTCACCCGCATCTCGGCGCACAGGCTGAACCCCCAGCTGGGCACGGACATCATGCTGGACGAGGTGAACGACACGGTGCTGGTGAACGCGCTGTGGGAGACCGAAGTCTACATCCACGAGCACCGCGACCAGTTCCAGAAGCTCATCGAGCTGCTGGTCTCGCCCTGAGCCGCAGACCCCTCCCCGGGGACCCTCCCCGGCCCCGCCCTGACCGCGGGGACACCGACCCCACGTCCAACACTACAGGTGCCGGGAACGCCCAGCCCAGCCTCCCGGAGGCGCGGGGCAGAGGCGGTGGCGCCGGGCGCAGCTCGGGCGTGGGCCCGCACCCTCCGAGCGCCCCGCCCGCCAGTCCCCACGCTCTCAAAGGCCGTTCCTCTGACTGTGACACCCCCCTTGGGGTTCTGAGTGGGGAGGGCCCCGGGGCTGGCTGCCCCCCAAACTGTGAAATAAACGGTGATTCTGCTCTGCCGGTGTCTTGTGTGCTGTGGGGGGCAGGACGCCTCCCTGCGCCCCTGCCCTCGGCCGTTTGCAGCCTCCTAGGAGGGTCGCAGGTGGGCAGCCCGGGCGCCCCTGCCCTGCCGCGGGTCCGGGTAGGCTTGAGGCCCAGAGAGCCGGCAGAGCCGGGGTTCCACGCCTGGAGGGTCTGTGCTGGTCCTGCCTCTGCACCCCACCTAGCCAGGCCAAGAGGCTCCACCCACTGCGTCCCCCGCCCGCGTCCAGAGCAGGAGGGCAGGGGGTCCCCGAGGGTCCGGAGGTACCTAGAGAAGCCCAGAGGTGCCACCAGGTGGTGCCCACCCGCGGATGCCCACCGGTGCTGTTCAGAGGGTAAATAATTGAAGGCGGGTCACACGACCCGCCCCGTCACAGGATGCTGCCGCCGGGGTCTGGTTACGCCCCAGATCGCGTCCTGACATCCCAGGCTGGTGAATAATTAAGCTGCTACCTCCGCCTGCCTCCTGGCCCGCTCCAGACCCAGGCTCCCACCGCGGCACCCCACAGCGCGCCCCAGCCTCCCGCCAGCACGGTGAGGCCCCCCAGAACCCCCGAGATGAACCCGTTCTACAGATCCACCATGACCATCTACCAGGTGAGCGCCCCCTCCACCCCACCCCCTCACCCCGCTCCCAGACACCCAGGCTTCAGCTGGAGGCCCAGAAGCCGTTGCGGGGGACATAGCCTCCCAGCCCCCACCTCAAGGCTTCTGGAAGCATGCCCCCAGCTCTGGGGACAGTGGCAGTCAAGAGGGCCCCTCTGGGGCGTCTCCCCGTTTCAGAGCCCCCTACTCTCCCAGAGGTTGCTGCATTCTCTACAGATGAGCAGTGAGCCCCTCTGGGGGGGCCCTCTGTCCCCTGCCCGCAAGTGGGTAAGAGTTGCCCCATTTGACAGATGAGCAAACTGAGGCCTGGGTGGCAGGCCCTGGAGCTGCCCCCACCTTCAGGGACCTCCTTGCAAGGTGCTGGGATTTCCCTTCCTTTCCTGCCCTCCAAGGCCTGGACTAGCTGCCTGGGGCCTCACCCCATCGGAGTCTCTGGTGGGGGTGGGCAGGAGGGCCTTCCAGGTGCCAGGGCTTGGGGGCACAGTGCCCCAGCGCACGTGGGACCCTGGCTTAGGGGATGTCTTGCAGCCCAGAGCCCGGCTTTTGGACACCCCAAGCTCGCAGAAGGGCTCCCCAAAGTCTGGAGGCGGCTCTTGCCCCTGCCCCCGGGGGCTGCTGGAACCCCCAAAGCCTGCCCTCCACCCACTGTCCTGTCCACCACAGAGCATCATGGAGCAGTTCAACCCCGCGCTGGAGAACCTGGTCTACCTGGGGAACAACTACCTCCGCGCCTTCCATGGTGAGCCGGAAACTGAGTTCCAGCCTGACCCCGTGTCCTGTCAGATGCCTGCAGCTGCGTGGACACCCCCCCCCCCCGCCCCGCCTCTGCCGGCGGAGCCCCTCACTGAATGGCAGAGATCTGAGCCCTGTGCACCCTCCCCCACAGCCTGTGCCAGCTCAATCCCCCCCACCCCCCGCACCCTATCCTCACAGTCCACTCCCAGCTCACCCCACCTGGCTGAGTCTCCCTGGCCAGCGTTCCCCACGTTTCCAGCATGCTCCGCCCGCAGTGCTCAGCCTCCCTCACGGGAGACCAGCGGTCACCTTGCGGGCATCCTCGCGGGAGCCCCCTGCCTCACGCCTCCTTGCGCCCCCGTCCCCCGCCGAGTGGCCTTGTGCTGGGGGGCAGGGCTCACCCTGCTGCCCCCCACCCCCGCAGCTCTATCCCAGGCCGCCGAGGTCTACTTCTCCGCCATCCAGAAGATCGGGGAGCAGGCCCTGCAGAGCACCAGCTCGCAGATCCTGGGTGAGCCCCTCCAGCGACCCTCTCCCTGCCGCCCGCCCCACGCCTGCCCTCCTGGGACCCCCCCCCCCCGAGTTGGGCCTCCTGGAGCGCCCGCACCCCCCACCACACCCTCAAACCGGGCCTTGGCGCGGGGACCCAGCCCCTCCCTGCCACTCCCACAGGGAGCCGTGTGTGAACCCCTGGACTTCGGTCCTGAAAGCAGGGCGGGAGGTTGGGGGGCGGGTGGCCCCACTGAGGCCGTCCTGTGTGTGCCCTCAGGGGAGATCCTGGTGCAGATGTCAGACACCCAGAGGCACCTGAACTCTGACCTGGAAGAGGTGGTGAGTGAGAGTCCCCGCCGGAAACAGAAAAGGGCTTGACCCCCCAACCCCCCAACCCAGACATCATCACAGCTGCCCTGGAGTCCCGCCAGGTTGATCTGCGGGCAGCATCTCCCCTCAAGGCCAAGTTGGGGGCTCACGGCAATCCAGGCACCCTGGGGTGAGAGAAGTAAACTGAGTCAGGGTCAAGGTTCCAGAGTAACTGAGAAATGCGGGCAAAAAAGGGCCCGACCCGCCCCCCACTCCCCAGGTCTGCTCCCCGCTGCAGCCAGACCCAAACAAACGTTCCCCAGCCTAGATTCAAACCTAGCAGCACCCCCACGGCACCCCCATCCTGCACCCCCGAGCCCCTCCTGACCACCCAGGAGCCTCAGAGGTGCTCCTGCTCTCAGCCAACAGGGCCAGGCCTGGCCATGCCCTGAGCATGCTCCTGGGCACAGCTTGGGGACCCTGAACAAGGCCCCTCAACGTGCTGGCCCACACTTTACCTGTCTGGGAAATGGGCACAATTGCCAGGACTGCCCTGTGTGGCTCGATTTGGGAGGATGACCGTCCCCTCTCCAGACCCGCTGAGACTCGGGGTGCAGGCGGAAATTTCGTCTCTGTGACCATCTGTGGTTCTCGTGTGCCGGGGTCAGCGACTTTCGGGGTGGGGCTCCCCAAGGACAGTTATTGGTTATTGGGCTGAAATGGGGAAATTTTCCCAGCGGGAAAAGGGGACCTTCCTACGTGTAATGAAAGCAGATTCCCCCATACAATCTGGGGTTCATCATGAAATCTTTGTCACTTCCTGGGGCCTGGGTGGGGGGGAAGTGAGGAAGCCAGGCTCCCCCCAGAAGCCTGTGACTCCGTCCCCGGGTTCGGTGGCTTTCTGTGTCGCCAGAGATTAGAACAGCCCTGGCCGGGCTCACAGACAAGCCACCCCTGGCCCAGCAGCCTGCCCAGGCCCCTACTGAGCAGGTGTTCAGGCTCTGCCCTGCCCAGGAGGGGACCTAGGTGGAGGGGTGTTCTAGTGTGGCCCTGAGACAAGCCCCTCTGGTCACCCAGAGAGGGGAGCTGCACTAGTCGGTGGAACTGCTTTGTCTTTGAGACCAGAGCAAACTGCGGTCCCAGCCCCGGGGACAGGCAAGCCAGGGCTGCCGGGCAGGGTGGGGGGGTGGGGTTGGGGGTCTGCCCCTTTCTGCCTGGAGCCCCTGCTGGCTGGAGGGTTTCTGTAGAGACGCAGCGGGGAGGGCACTCGCCTGGCCCACAGCTGGTCCGGGTTCATTCCCGGGCATCCTGGGCACCCCAGATGGTCCGCCAAGCCCCGCCCACAGCGGTGCCTGAGTGTGGAGCCAGGCATGAACTCTGAGCACCTCAGGGTGTGTCCCACACCCCGAAAACGAGACACACTGGAGCCCGTGGAATAGTGCAGCCGGGAGGGCGCTTACCTTGCTTGCATGTGGCCGACCTGGGTTCAATCCCCGGCATCACATACAATCCTCTTCCCGAGCACTGCCAGGAGTGATTCCTGGGTGCAGAGCCTGGAATAACCCCTGAGCACAGCCGGGTGTGACCCAAAAATAAAAAATAAATGCACAGGCTCTGGGCTCAGTTCCGCTAGAGCACCTCACTGGCACCCAAACACTAACATTAACCCGGAGTCATTGGAAGGGCCCCAGGGGTGCCTGAGACCACTGGGGGGCCCCAAAGAGAAGCTTCCCTGAACCCACTTTATGCCCCTGTGGACAGGCAGGGGAGAGGCCAGGGAACCCCCTTCTTATCTGCACTGAGCATGCGCGGCTGAGGTCGCTCCCTCCTGGAAACCTACCGCGTCTTGCACCCTGCACAATCATTATTGTTATTGTTGTTGTTGTTATTGTTGTTGGGATGAAGCCCAGCGAGGCCCCTTCCCTCCCGTCTCCCCTCCTCTCCCCCCACGTGATGACTTTATTGGAGTGGGCAGAGTCCCCCGTTCCTGGCCAGTCCCCCATTCCTGGGTCCAAGCCTAGCACCACCCCCTGGGCTCTCCAGCCCGGCTCCAGGCCTGGCCCGCACTGGGCATCCTCCAGAAACGCAGGACCTGGGGAGTATCCCTGCGACTGGGCCCCACCATGGACACGCTTTTGCCGATGAGATCTTTTTTATTTTAATTTATTTTTAATTGAATCACCATGAGATAGTTTGGTTTCTTTGGGGGTCACACCCAGCGATGCTCAGGGGGTTCCTCCTGGCTCTGCGCTCAGGGATTACTCCTGGCGGTGCTCAGGGGACCCTATGGGATGCTGGGAATCGAACCCAGGTCGGCCGCGTGCAAGGCAAACGCCTTACCCGCTGTGCTATGGCTCCAGCCCCGTGGAAAAGGAAATTCTGTTCTGTTCTGGAGCCACACCCAGCAGTGTTCAGTGATGACTCCAGGTCTCTGTGCTCAGGGATCACGCCTGGCAGGCTCGGGGGATCGAACCTGGGTGGGCTGCGTGCACGGCACAAAACTTCCATGGCCCGGCTTCAGTCACAGAGTGTCCCAATGCCCGTTCCCCACCAGGGTCCACTTCCCAGCACCAATGGGCCCAGCTGACCTTTTCCTTCTTACCCTCTACCTGTGGGCACTACGGTTTGCAGGACGGAGACTGAGAATAGAGATCTCTCTTGGTTGGTTTAGGGCCACCAGGCCATGCTCAGGGATCATTCCTGGCTCTGGGCTCAGGGACCACTCCTTGTGATGCACCGGGACGGTCGTGGGTGCCGGGATGGAGCCCAGGTCTGCCTCGTGCAAGGCTAGCACCCTGCCCGCTGTACTCTCTCTGCGGCCCCAGTCTAATTTTTTTGTGAATAAATAGATTTTATTTGAAACTTTTTTGGTTTTTTTTTTAACCAATTACTTGAATTTTTTTTTTGTTTCTTTTGGCCCAGATGCTACAAAACGTTTTTCTCTTAATTGTAGTGGTTTTCTAGGATATATCCTGGTGCCGGAGCGATCGTACAGCAGGGAGGGCGTTTGCCCTGCATGCCCCTGACCTCCTGGGTTCGATTCCCCAAGCACCGCCAGGAGTAATTCCTGAGTGCAGAGCCAGGAGTAACACCTGAGCACTGCTGGGTGTGTGGGTGTGACCCTCCCCTGCCCAGGCTCTGGCCAAAAAAAATTAAAATATATATATATCCTTTAGTTTGGTTAGTATCAGTCAATTGTTTGACATGTTTTCTCTGTTGAGGGGAGTTTCAATATTTTAGTTTTAGGAAAAGTTGCCTTGGTTTAGTTTTGGGGGGTCATGGTCCATAGCCGGTGATGTTCAGGGGTCACTCCTGCACTCGGGAATTACTCCTGGCAGGCCTTGGGGGGACCATATGGGGTGCCGGGGATCAAACCCAGATAGGCCGGGTGCAAGGCAAGTGCCCACTGTGCTACCCACTGTGCTATCTCTCTGGCCCTCATGTGTTTTTATTTGTTTCTTTCCTTCCATCCTTGAATTTCTTCTCTCGGGAGATCTGTGACCTGGGCATGAAAGCTCACTATGTCCTTCCCCTTAGCTATTGATTTATTTATTGGGTCTTGGGTCGCACCCAGCAGTGCTCAAGGAACACCCTCTCTGGGGATCGAACTTGGCTTGGCTGTGGGCGAGGAAGCCCCTTCCCGCTGGGGTCGACTTCCTGGTTCCCTATCCCCCCTCCCCCCACCCGTCCTAGGGCTTCGTGGTGCCAGCTGTGCCCTGGGCGTCCCTTGGTGCCCTCCCGGGCCGTCCCCTTCCCCAGGGGGCCGTGGATGCGTGTTGCGGCACCTCCTCCTCCGGATCTGGGCAGGGCTGCTGGGGGCCGGGGGTTGGGGTGGGGGGAACCGACTCCGGCAACCCGTCTCCTATGCGCTCATGTTTACGTTCCTCTTGGATGGAAATCGCAGCAGATTGTGTGGGTCAGAGGGCGGTCATGTATTTAGCTTTATCAGAAGCTTCCAGAAAATTCCCCGAAGTTCTGGGGGGTTTTCTTTGTTTGTTTGTTTGTTTTGGATTTTTTTTTTTTTTTTGCTCACGTTCTGCATGCTCAGAGGTTACTCTTGGCTCTGCACTCGGGAATCACTTCTGGCGGTGCTCCGGGGACCCTATGGGATGCTGGGGTTCGAATCCCAGTCGGCCGGGTGCCAGGCAAATGCCCTCCCCGCTGGACTATCACTCCGGCTCCTCCCCCAAGGTTCTCAAACTCTCGTTGCGCTGCCCACCCCCGGCCTGGCCACTCCGTGGAGGACCACAGCCGCTGACGTTTCCCTGGCAACGTTCCCCGTGGGTCACTGTGTTTATGCAGGCTATCACCAGGGAGATGCTGTGATATCTCTGGTGATGAATGTCTTTTTGTGGGTTTATTGGATCATGTGTGCTTTCTGGGATGTTTGCTGAGCCAATCACCTATTTTTTTTTTATTTTATTTTTATGAGGGGTTGTGTTTATTGTCTGCTTAGCAAGCATTCGTTAGTCCACCCTTTGCCGAGGCGTGTCCATGTGCCTGTAGTTCTGTATTCTCCCACCTGGGCTGCTCCTTTCCCTTCCTCAATGGTCACTCTGAAGAGCAGATATTCTACAGGTTTTTTTTGTTTGTTTGTTTTTTGTTTTTTGTTTTTGTTTTTATTTTTATTTTTGGGTCACGCCCGGCGATGCACAGGGGCTCCTCCTGGCTCTGTACTCAGGAATTACCCCTGGCGGTGCTCGGGGAAACCTATGGGATGCTGGAAATTGAACCCGGGTCAGCTGCGGGCAAGGCAAACGCCCTACCCGCTGTGCTATTGCTCCTTCTTTAAAATTTATTATTATTATTTTATTTTGCTTTTTAAGTCACACTCAGAGATGCTCAGGGGTTACTCCTGGCTCATACTTCAGGAATTCCTCCTGGCGGTGCTCAGGGGACCATATGGGATGCTGGGAATCGAACCCGGGTTGGCCAAGTGCAAGGCAAATGCCCTACCGGCTGTGCTATCGCTCCACTCCCTCGCTCCCTTTTTTTTAAAAAAAGAAATTCTTATGAAATAAAACTCACCT